AAACATTTGAAGTAGATTCATATATCCAAGTTGTGTTGATCATACTTACAAGTGTTTCAATGAACTGAATGTCAGTTTAATTGTATTTAAATTAATTAAAATTAAGTAGGATTAAAATTCAGTTGCTTAGTCAAGAGTCACAAGCCACATGTGACTACTGACTTTCAAGTCTGTTCTGACCTTGTAGCTTCTTGTTTATTACTATATACTTTGTATTTTCATTTAATTTTTCCTCACTTAAGGCACATTTGAGTCTTTTAAACTTTGATCCTTAGTTATGTATTATATTCTACTGGTCAATCTCATTTTGTGCCAGTGACACAGTGATCACTGTAACTTGACAAAATGTTCACTATCTGGGAGGGATAGTGAGCTGTCTCACTCTGGGACCCAAATTTTTCTTGGTCATTCTTTTTTGATATGATTATACTATAAGTTTGAACAATTTTTTTGATCGAATGAATACAAATGTGAATTTCTTTTTTGGGGGGTGAAATACAGAAACAGATTTCATTTTTTTTCCTTAGACATCCTTATCTTTATTTAAATTTTAAAAATTTTTGATTAATTTATAATACTTGTACATATTTTGTGTGTATAGGTGATATTTGATTCCTGTATACAATGTGTAATGATCCAGTCAGGGTAACTGGGATATCTATCACCTCAAAAATTTATCTTTTTTTTTTTATTAAGTTATTTTATCTCCCTCCAAGATTGGATGAACACAACTAGTTGCCTCTTAGTGGAGAGGTCATCACCCAGAAAATAATTAAAGACAATATAGGAAGGGATCTCTCATGCTCTGGAGAACAAAATGCATAAGCAACTGAAATTTTAAAAAAAATTATAAGTGAACTTCATATTGAAAACAGCAAGTTAAGAACTTGTCAATAACTCTCTTCATCAACCCACAGGAGGCAAACATGCACCCATCAGAATGTCGATGGAGGCCATGTGCTTCCAGCATAACTCGGGAAAGAATTTCTTCTTTCACGAAATTCTTTTCCGGTAAAGAGGGGAGACCAGGCCACCTAATGGCTTCCTATAGGAAATACAATCCCATGATTTTCATGCCAGCATCTGCCTTTACTAATGAGAGCTGCAAGAATGTCTCTGAACTACATAGTTAATTTTTTATATTTCTCTTGAGTCGAACAACTTGGTATTTATTATTTCTAATACTTTATCTTTAGATACTTTTGAATTTCTATAAATACAATTATGTCACAAGTAATAATTGTTTTTTCCTTTCCAATTCTCATATATTTCATTTTTCTTGTGTTACTGTACTGGTTAGAGCTTTGAGCACAATGCAGAGTAGAAGTGATAGTGCGTATCTCTGTCTTGTTCCCAAACTTAAACTTATAACATTCTACCATTAAGAAAGTGGTTTGCTGTTGACATTAATGTTGTTCCATTATCAATGTTCAGGAAGTTTCTCTTTCTAGTTTTCTAAGAAGTTGTTTTTTAAATGAATGGATATTAAATTTTATCAAATGCTTTATCCCCTCCATTGATTAAGATGATCACGGTATTTTCTTTAATGCAATTAAAGTGAATTATACTGATTGCTTTTCTGACAGTATATCAATCTTGCAATTTCTAAAATAAATCCAACTGGGTCATGACACAGCAGCCTTTTAATATTATTGACAGATAATATTGGTTATTGATTGCTTCCCCATTAATGAGTGATACTGGCTTATAAATTCTTTTCTCATAATGTTCTTGTCAGGTTGTGCTAGGTTAAAAAAAAGGAACAAGGAGTATTCCTTCTTTATCTGTTCTCCACATTTGGTTAAGATTGGTATTATTTCTCTCTTAAAAAGGTTATGTTACCAATTAAGCTACCTGGGCCCTAGAGTTTTCACTATGACAAAACTTAAATTAGTATTGTTTTAAAAATGGATATAGAACTATTCAGGCTTCTTACTACTTCTGTGTTGGTTTTGGCAAGTTGTATGTGGTTTTCTTCTAATGGTCTCATTCCATCTGTTTCATTTTCAAATTCATTCACATAAAGTTGTTCATAAAATACCCTTCTGGAGGAAAAAAACATCTGTGAGATTTGAAAGAATGCCCTCCTTTTCATACCTTCTCTTTTTTCCTTGGTTAATCTTGCCAGGAGTTTGTCAATATTATTCGTACTCTTTTCAAAGATCCAATTCACAATTTTTAAGATATTTTCTGGCCGGGCATCGTGGCTCATGCCTGTAATCGCAGCACTTTGCGAGGCTGAGACGGATGGATCACAAGGTTAGGAGTTTGAGACCAGCCTGACCAACATGGTGAATCCCGGTCTCTACTAAAAATACGAAAATTAGCCAGGCATGGTGGCAAGTGCCTGTAATCCCAGCTACTTGGGAGGATGAGGCAGGAGAATTGCTTGAACCCGGGAGGCAATCCAGTAATCCAAGATCACATTACTGCACTTCAGCCTGGGCCACCGACAGAGACTCAGTCTCAAAATAATAATAATAATAATAATTTATATGCATTTCAAAAATAGCAAATGCAATGTATGCTTTGAGAAGTCAGGTAAATGGTATGTTTGGAGAAGAGGCAGGGTTGTGAGTGAGGGAAAACACAAGACTAAAGAGTACTGGTAATATTAACTCTTGTTCTAAGTGAACTAGAGAATGGAACAGATGGAAAAGGACTATTAGAAGAAAACTATACACACCTTGCCAAAACTGATACAAAATAATAAGAAACCTGAGATGCTCTGGGTGAACAAGAGATAATATTACCAATACTCTAGAAGTGTTCAATTTGTGATAATTCACTGGGCTACACACTTAGGATTTGCAAACGTTTCCGTAACTTTATATTACATTTAAATATACTTTTCTTTTTAAGAGAGAAAACAGATCTGATATTAAGAGTGGAAACTGTGACAGTACTAGTCTTCTCAATATTATAGTAGCTGTCAGAAGAAATAGTACAATGCCTTTTCAATTCTAATGGAAAATGATTTGGAACCTAGAATTCTCTAGTCAGATTTTTTTTTTTTTTTTGAGACAGGGTCTCACTCTGCCACCCAGGATGGAGTGCAGTGATGCAATCTCTGCTCACTGCAACCTCCGCCTCCCAGGCTCAAGGCATTCTCCTGCCTCAGCCTGCTGATTAGCTGGGACTACAGGCATGCGCCACCACATCGAGCTACTTTGTTTTTTTTTGTTGTTGAGACAAGATTTTGCCATGTTACCCAGGCTGGCTCAAACTCCTGAGCTCAAGTGATCCACCCACTTCGGCCTCCCAAAGTGCTAGAAACATAGGTGTGAGCCACAGCACCTGGCCCCAGACATTCAATCAAATTATAAAGATAAACATATTTTCAGTCAGGAGAGCTCATAGAAAAGTTACCTCCCAGGTACCTTTTCTCATAAATCTGGAGAACGTGCTCCAGTAAAAAGAGGGAATAGATAGGAAGATGAAGACATGGAATCTGGAAACAGAGACTTCAACATAGGAGGAAGACAAAGGCCTCAGAACAACAAGTGTGCCTGGGTGGCAGGAGGCGGGAGGGTTCTAGGGTGGACAACTCCAAGAGAAACTCAACAAGAGAGCACCTGCTTGTGTGTGACCATAGTGAGATTTCTCAGTTCGGTCACAGTACAGTGGTATTTTATTTTATTTTATTTTTTACTGTTCTAAAGGTACATCAGCAAGAGTATAGGGATAAATCAAACAATTAAATTTTTCAGGATAGAAAAATCAAACAATTAAAAAACCAAACATGGCAAATACTATATATACGATAAGCAAATAATGATCCTTCTACCCAAAAAATCTGGTAGTGTAGTCACTGTTCAACGCAGCTGTGAATAAGAATTTTATGGCCGGCCAGTCGTGGTGGCTCTCACCTGTAATCCCAGCACTTTGGGAGGCTGAGGCAGACAGATCATGAGGTCAGAAGTTTGAGACCAGCCTGGCCAATATGGTGAAACCCCATCTCTACTAAAAATACAAAAACTAGCTGGACATGGTGGTGGGCACCTGTAATCCCAGCTACTTGGGAGGCTGAGGCAGAAGAATTGCTTGAAACTGGAAGGCAGAGGTTGCAGTGAGCCAAGATCATGCCACTGCACTCCAGCCTGGGTGAAAGACTAAAACTCCATCTCAAAAAACAAAGAGAAACAGAAAGTTTTATAGTTATAACATAAATAGTAAATAGGGATCACTGATTTAGCCCTATATTGTGATATAACGGTATTAAATGAAAGAGAAGAAGGGGCTTTTGTATGTTTTTGTGGTGTGAGGGCAGATGCTAGGGGAGGCCATGTAACACGGTATATCCTCATCTTCTACAGTAGGACTTCAAAAGAGAACTCGAGAACAAAAGAAAAACCAAGTGTAAACACAGAGAAGTAAAAAACTAAAACAATTTAAACTGGGGGGGTTGTGGGGGTGGGAAGGTGCAAGGCAGGCTATTGCTGGCTTTAAAAACTGCAGCACTTTTTTGTCTTTTTCAATTATTTGTATATAGTATTTTCATAAAGATAAAAAATTAAACTAAGAAAACAACTATGGAAATAAAAGAGAAAATCCCAGGGAACTAACAAATCAATTTCAGCTTTAAAACTCAGGATAATCACCAGGCTCATCTCTTGAACAAGAATAAGCATATATGTAGCTCACATCAGTAAGCATTATTAACTAAATGTTGTTTTAGTCCCCAATTCTCCCCATATGAAGAGCCAAATTATCTATAGGATACATGCAAAAACTAATACAGGATACATGCAAAGCCCCAACCACCCCCTACAAGCCAGAACATACAAACCAGATGTTTTCACTTTATCATGCTAGAGTGAGTTTATATTATTGTAACTGAGTTTATATTATTGTTCCTAACTTTTGAGGAATACATATAAAATAAATTTGATCTGTGGTGGAAAAACAGGATTATTCTTTATCTTTTAGGAGCTGATACTGTATTAATGGATCTAGCTCCTAAATCAAAAGAACAGAAGAGTCTGTATAAGCAAAATTACCTGAAGAAAGTCACGAAGAACTGCACCAGGTCCATAAAATTGCTGTGCTGGGAGAAAGCAATCTGTGACAGAAAAACAGGTAGTGTGATTATGCAGGTTATGAAACCACCACAGATTAAGGCTTCTCATTTCAAGACTTAAGCTGAAAACAGAGTTTCCATTTTAAAGAAGTTAATGAAACCCCTTCAGTTTTCTTGTTTAGTTGCCAGCCCCATGGCAATACTCTGAGGTTTAGCACAGTGTCCTGCAGCCCACTCTGAACTTCACATTAGCTCTGAGGTTCTCTCCATCTGACCCCGGAGACCCTCGCAGGCCTCCATGAAGCCTGGCGCTCCCTCCCTGCACCTCCACCCACACACAAAGCTCTTCTTGTCTGCCTCAGTACTGATTCATGGCTCTGCCTCCAGGTGGGCAGCCCCATTTTGTGCTCTTCATTCTGTCAACATTTATGCACTCAGTGCGTACTGACTGCAAGATACTGTCCTTTTAACAAAAAATTGTGCCTCATGTTTTGCCACATTGACCATCATCAGTTAGAACTTAAATAATTTTATTATCAATTAATAGTTTTCATACCAAGAATATAAAAACACAACATATTTCATCAACTCTACATTAACATTGAGTGAAAGAGGCATTATTCTGTGTATTATTTAGGAAAAACACTTTAACTACAACAAAATGCTTTTTAAGTCACTAACCATAAGATGCATCATGATTTCAGGGATATTAGCACATGAAAAAACACATACCTCCGAATTGATGAAATATGATAACTGTGTCCTTACACCACCTACAATATACGTGGTACTAGCCAGATGCTGTGGTGCATTGCCTGCTATTTTTTTTTCTTGAGACAGAGTCTCGCTCTGTCACCAGGCGCCAGGCTGAAGTGCAGTGGCGCAATTACGGCTCACGGCAGCCTCCACCTCCCAGGTTCAAGCAAGTCTCCTGCCACAGCCTCCCGAGTAGCTGGGACTACAGGTGTGCGCCACCACACCCAGCTAATTTTTGTATTTTAGTAGAGACATGGTTTCATTATGTTGGCCAGGATGGTCTCGATCTCTTGACCTTGTGATCAGCCTGCCTTGGCCTCCCAAAGTGCTGAGATTAGCCACCATGCCTGGCCATTGCCTACTTTTTTAAGGGAACTCAGCCCTCTTTGGAGAGACAATCGTATTATAAATGAAACAATTACTGACCAAGTGACAATGCCAGTATAGACAATTCACATGACAAGCACAGAAGGTAAATGACCAGCATCTGCTTTATTAGTCCCACTCAACCCCAACCCCTTGCACTGCTTTTTAGAGCCAGACTCACAGGGGCCAGAAAAGAGACTTCTACTGTTTGCTTTTTGTTGGCCCTATTTTCTTTTTGACATTCCATAAATAAATAAAGTTCCAACACTATTCAGGTCATAAAATATTATGGGGCTTAGAATCTGAATTTTTTGTGTCCTCCCTCTGGCCACCATTTATAATCAGAAATACAAAGTCACATTGATTTCATATAGTAAACAGAAACCCACTTTCTTTTCTTTTCCTTCTTTTATCACAATAACCAGTCCCACCTCCTTGAGAGAAGGAAAGCTGCAGAATATGACCCACGGTCCTCACATAAAAGTTTAAAGTAAGATTGGAGGACAATTATATAAACAAAGTCATCTTGGGGAATGAAGAATCCAAGTTATAACACATAAAGAGAGAGAAGGAAACAGATCAGAGTCCACTCCAACCCTGTCTGGATTTCAATTTTTTAAAACATAAGTGTGCCCTCAGTGTTTACACTTAAAGAATCTATAAGATACTTTTATTCACTGCTAGATGCCAAAAATCATTGGATGCTAAGGGCACTGTCTGAGGACCTATCTGGTGTTCATGTGCTCTGTGCCACACAGCACTCCTCAGGGCAGCCCCCGCCTTCCCCCACACTGGATGCCAACCATTAGCCTGACCTCTTGCTGAAGCAGGATCACTCTATGTTCATGTCCAAATTATAATCATAAAGAACCTCATATAAAACAGCTGCCAGTATGGCTGGTACCCAAGTCTCTAAAGAGGTCCTCTTATGTTGAATCTTTATCATCTAATTTTCCATAGTTACAAGACTGTCTAAGGAAGCCAAAGTCCTAACATGAAAATGTTTATGAATGCACTGACCACTTAGAAATATCTAACCCTGCTGAACACCCCATGCACTGTTGTCAGTCTTTGTTGGTCAATCTTTGACTGATAAGGTGCCAAACTTACTGTTCAAACTGAACACTTCTGAAAATGAAGGGGAGTACTGTTAAAAATTACCCAGTAATTTTAATTACTGGGTAATTAAAAGTTACTCAATGTAAAAAGCATAACCTTGATAAGAAGCATAAATTGAGCTGTCCCTACTCCCAGACAATGCAAACCAACTGTAAAATTAGTCTTGCAAAAGATAAGATTTTAGTGGAAGTGCTGTTAGAGAACTGCTCATACAAAACCACTGACAAAGGAAGACTTGGCAGATTTAGCCCTTCAGTTATCTACTGAAGAAGGGATTAAGGATGAAGGCATAGGAAGTGCTTCGTAATACTCTGAATGGGATTAAGACAGGACCTGGGGGATACTGAGGCATTTCCTGAGACTGTTAATTTTTAAATTCTGCTGTGAAGTCAAGTCTCAAGTGACGGACTCTAAGATGGAGTCCATGATGGAGCTATCAGGCCTCTGGGCACCATGTGCATGAGGGAAGCCATACCCCCATCTCTTTATCTTGCTCTATTTAATTCATAGCCCGTATCTGTACACCTTCCGGAAATAAGATCTGTGAGTACTGAGGACAGAGATTTCTCCTATTCCCACTGACTATACATCTCCAGTGCCTAAAGGAGCGACTAATATATTAATAGGCACTTAATAAAGATCTGCTGAATAAATGAATATGTTAATACAAAAAATAATGATCTTTTTCACAGAACTCAGTAAGATCTGATTGACTTTCTTTTTTCTTTTATGAACTTGGCTCATGAAGCAGGACCATACCTGCTTCATGATTGTAACTATAATTTAAATTTTGTTAACTCTGAAAGTATTTTCCCATCCTTTCTGGTTTCATTTTTAAAGATAATATCCCAATCAAATCTTTCTTCCATGATTTATTCTGAAAATGGTGAAATGGATTTGGGGGACTTTCTGATACTGAAGATAAGGAAGATTTCCTATATAAAAACATATGTTAATACAAAGAAGAAATTCTAATTATATTTTATAAATAAAACTCATAATACCATTCTTCTCTATTTCCAAACAGTAGACACCATACTCTACTCCAAGAAACCTAGAATTCAGATTCTGCTACTTCCACAACCTAATCCAACTCCACTTTCATCAGTATGTCTAAGGTGTATCTACCCCATGGGCCCTCTGGATCTGTTCATAAATTCTGAAAAACTCTAACTCAGAAGCTCAGTGAGGCCCAGGGTCTGGTAAGATATTACGGACCTGCACTTCCCCAACCACTAATGTTGCGCTTCAGCCAAAAGTGCTTCTGCTCACTATACTACTGTACCACTGTACCCGACAGGAGATGGTCACCAGAGAGCCTCCCTGCCTGTGTGCATAGGGGTCCTCCCTGTCCTTCCTAGCTTAGCACAGCACTGTCTCCCTTTTTCAGCACCCCCAACCCCACTGGAAACTGGCAGGCTCTCCTCTACGCTCTCTCAGCACTGATCTGCTTCCCTCTCAGGGTGTGTGATAATCACAGTCTACATAGGGGTGGCCAATCTTTTGGCTTCCCTAGGCCACATGGAAGAATTGTCTTCGGCCACACATAGAATACGCTAACACAAACAGTAGTGCTGATGAACTGGAAAAAAATGCAAAAAAAAAATCTCATGTTTTAAGAAACTTTATGAATTGTCCTGGGCTGTATTCAAAGCTGTCCCGGGCTGCATGTGGCCCATGGGCTGTGGGTTGGACAAACCTGGTCTACCATATACCATGGCTATCTACAAACAGACATCCTGGAGAAGAGGATTCTTCATTCCTCTATGAAGATACCAATTCCTAACTTAAATTACTGTTGTACCTCCCATACAAGAGCAGATATACTTTTGTATTCTAAGAACTAGGCCATGGCTCTCAAACTCCCAGCTTACAACAAAGTCAGAATCCCAGGCCCTATCCTTATCTCTGTATCTTTAAGCTCCTCAAGTGATTCGATGCTAGTCTCTACAAGCCAAACTTCAGGAAACTCTGAAGTAAGAAATTATTTAAAATTCAGGCTGGACACAGTGGCTTACACCTGTAATCCCACAACTTTGGGAGGCTGAGGTGGGTAGATCACTTGAGGCCAGGAGTTTGAGACCATCCTGGCCAACATGGCAAACCCCGTGTTTACTAAAAATACAAAAATTAGTTGGGTGTGGTGGTATGCGCCTGTAATCCCAGCTACCTGGGAGGCTGAGGCACAAAAATTGCTCAAACCCAGGAGGCGGAGAGGTTGCAGTAAGCCAAGATCGCACCACTGGACTCCAGCCTTGGCGACAGAGCAAGACTGTCGCAAAACAACAACAACAACAACAAAAACTCCTCCTCTGTTCCTTTCCCTAGATAATTTCTTTAGCATTTCAGGTACTGCATTGAAAAAAAAAATCCTCACCTTTACTTGAAAGGTTAAAGCCCCATAATTAGTTTGGCTCTTCTGGGGGAGTGAGAGGGAGATGGGGAAGGATAAGGGTAGAGGAAGAGAGGACAGTGCTTTGAAACAAAAGGAGAGGCAGGCAAAGGGACGGAATGGAGGGGAAGTTTCACATTCTGAAAGTGCCTGGGAATGTGGGGTGTCCTGGTGGCAGGTTAGGGAGGCTTTGGAGCTTCATGTCCAAGCCTGTGCCACATGAAAGTGAGGATGCTGCCCTCAAGAGTGAGGAGCCAGGGAATCGGACGCAGCAGTCAGCGACTAAAGATCAGACCAGGGGGTCTTCCCCAATCTCTGAGCTCAGTTCAGCCCTAAGGTTTCTATACGTCCCTGAGAGAAGGGACTGGGACCCTGCGAAAACAGAGGCTGAGAATAAATTTCTAATCAA